GATCTATCTGAATTATATATCGTAACTTAGTGAGTGAATATCTAATTTTTGGACATATAATTATCCATTTAGTCGACGATAAAAATGAGTGTTTTCTATCTATTCAAGTTTGCTCATTGGAATAATTTCTGCAAAATGTTCGTTAAAATAAAATGAATGAAGCGGATTTTCAACTTCTAAGCTTTACAATCTGAATAGTTTTGTGTTTTTATTTCCATCGAAAGACGGGAGGAATTTAAACGTTGATCAGGAATCAGCAGTTTTTATTGCTTTTCATTTTTATAGAACTTTTTTATGTTCGGTTTATATTTATATATTTTTTGTGTGTGTGTTTCGTTCTTTTCATTCTTTGAAAATACATTTGAAACAAATTATAAACTGCACCTTTTTAGTAAAGAAACCATTTGACGATAGCAAAACACTAATTGAGCAACAAAACACGCAAATTTGAAATTCACACAACTTAGCAATAATGGCAGACATGAAAATTGCGAACGTATACATTAGTGATAATACAAGCTTATATCAATAAAATCGCAAATATTCTCTTGCGCCATCGCTTGCTTCCACACTTTCTCTCTCTCTCTCTGTCTCTATCTCATTCAATTATTTCCTCTGCATTCAATTTCGCACTTTATGGAATTCGATTTGCTATCTTCATCGTTGTATTTCAACTCTAAACCATGACACATCATGATTTGCCACATTTAAAAAGATAAAACTGAAACAATTTTATTGTTATGTGGAATCTAAACTGCAATATTCTCATCATTCGAACCATTTTTTAAAATTTATGATCAATTTGTGTTCACATAGATCGTACCATTAGCTCATCGTAATTAGTCAATTGACATTTAAAGCATTTTTAGATATAAACTAGACTTGAATAAAAAAAATATATATATATATAGCGAATAGAGAAAGACAGATCATTCGTGTTGAATTTGTTTTGAACAAAAATGTTGGGTTGTGCTTCATTAGTGATCGATGTGTGTGAGGTTAATGTGCGTTTCTATGTTGATAGCAGATCATTTTAATGAATGAGAAATACGTGTAAATGTCAATGCCACAAATAACGGAAGATTTATGCATATTTAACGTGGGCCAAAAATGTTATATCAGCAATTTTCGAAAAGAGTTCAGAGAATGGAATCAATTTCAACTAAATCTTCCATATATTTATCTAACAGCATCGAATGGGATCTCGTGCGATTAACATTTTGGTGATAGTTTTGACGTATATTAATGTGATCATGAAATGTGCAACAGATTTTCGAGAGGTATTCTCGTGCATTTTAATGGAAAATGATTCTTTTTCTCGTTTCTTTCAAACTGAACCTTATGTATTTCAAATGTTCTCTGAAAAGTGATCGCATTAACATCTTTGGATCGTAAAAAATGAAGAAATAAAATAATACATTTTTATAGTCATTTGATAAAGAATAATTTATGTAGAAGAAAAAAAAGCCATCCCAAACTATTAAGCATGTATTTGAAATCAGAGACTAATCAAATTCCTTTTATCGAAAACCTTTAACTTCTTTAAATGTCTTCATTTGACGCAAGTGAATTTTGTTTCGCAAAGTTCGATCAGATTGTTTTTATGATCATTTTTCTCTTTCTCTTTGCAACGCTAAGAACGTAAATGAACCTATAAAAGAATATGTGTATTTGTGTGTGCGACGGTTCACTGGTTTAGCCCATTACCCAATGCTCAATTTTCGAACTTAAATGATTTTGATTCGTTTACTTTATTTCGAATAATTTTCTTGGGACCCTGAAATGAACTGTCGATGATCGTGCCATAAAAAGATTATCTAGAATGAATGCTACAAACTAAACTGCTTCGCTGCCTTTCTCATCTGTCGATGGAGTGAGGCCGCATGTATATACAGTAAAGAGAGGCTGCAACACTGAGAATGCAAATTATCATCGAAAGAAAAGGTAGGCAAGAATAAAAACCAGCAGGTCGGGTTGATTTGTATGTTAATTTTAGTATTATTACATTCTGATAAGCTATATTCACGTTGATATTTATTTTAAATGAAATCCCATCTCGTATAAAAAAATCTCCGAAAAAAATGTATTTTTATGATTGCGTGCGTTTTTTAGTGAATTTAAGACGGCATTTCATATTGTCATCGATTCACTTGAAAATTTGTTAAAATAACGATTTAAATAAAGGTTTTTTGCATTGCAGCTCGTAAAGGAAGTTCAAAATATGAGTCTCTGAAATGTGTGATAAAAAGTCAATTTGCGCCGAAAAAAAAGTCCATTTGCTCGATCAATATTGGCGCAATGCATTGGCTTGAAATGATCAAACGAACAAATAAACGAAAAAAAAAGATTGTAAAAGCCGATGCCATTGCAATTACTGTTATTATAATAGATATAAATATGTAAATGAAATTGAACAAACGTATTATGTTTTTTTTTTTTCATCTGAAGTAAGACATTCTGATACAACGCGGAACATTATTATTATTTTTCCCCCCATTGAGATCAAGTTGGCGACGGCGTCGGGCGGTGGTGAGTGTAGCAAACTAGAGGTGTTAAGACAGTCATTCGCCTGTCGGTTTTTGCGCAGCACTCAAGCAACTATAACACGATCGAACACATTCCTTCACCCAATAAATTGATCAATTTATGCTTTTATTTATCGCTTGTTTTGAATAATACGATTTCAATACATTTAAAGCAATCGAAACCGCATATCAACTTATTGAATGGCATATATACGGCTTAATAGTCAAACGGTTTAAATTCTCTTCTTTCTTTTACACTCGATAAACTGGATTTCGCTTCAATTTGTGAAAAATTTGCTATAAACAACAAGAGACACAAATGTTTTTATGGTGAATAGTTTGCTTGCGATAATAAAGTTATTGCGATCGATAATTTAGCGTCAGAAAATGTGCAATGCATTGTTAAAAAATCATAAAAATGGGATCTGTCAAATAACTAACTGGATCATTTGGTGTGTAAAGAGCCGTTTCGAATATAATCCGTGGATTTAATCAAATGTCTCTATTTTTTAATAAAGCCCGTCGAATTGGAGAGATAAAAGAATCAAGAAAAAAAAACAATTCACTTGATTTCATTTAGAAAAACTAATAAGATGCAAAACAACACGAAAATACGTTAATATATTGGACTATGCGAACGAGCGCGTAGTCAAACAAGTTTCCTGGCACCACAGCGGCGCTTACAATTGACTTGATTTTCTCTCTGTGTAGTTTTTTTTCTTCTGTTTATGATTTGATTTTACCTTGCTTATTTCGTAAGTCAGCAAAGTCTATTTCGTTTAATTATATTGAATAAAACATTTGAATAGATTTATCATATTTTGGTCGCTCTCGATATTCAATTATTCAAATGATTCAGTGCTTCTGTTGTGTGCGGATTCTCAATTTGGGCGTTCGCATGTGGAGAGCAAAAAACAACTGTATGTAATGCTTGACATTACAAGCTTTATTAATTGGATGTAGAAAAATTTATTGGCGCCTTATTTTATTTTCGGCCCATGTGGATACTCAAGGTCGTTTATAAATTTGTTTGTTGTCAGTGCAGCAAACACTGTGAAAATGTTCATCCTAATTCGTCTTCATTAAAAACAATTCAATCGTATTTTTCGGGACAAGTGCGTTTTACTTTATCAGTATTGTGCACGGAAAAGATTTTGCGGCGAGGGAAATTGGACAGTACAACATTAATTCGAAACGAAATGGCGTTCCACATATAGATCATTTCCAGAAAACAGTAACAAAGTTATCGTATTTCATTGAAATGAGTAAAATATACAGTTTTCCATCACCTGCGCGAACAATTTCGCAAGAATTTCTTTTCTTCGAATGAATTTGTGTGCAGTTGTGCTGCGCTGGGTGATTATTCAATAAAAATTCCAAAAGGCCAGGAGCATTAAGCATTTTAATTTGCTACTTGTAACTTTTTTTTATTTTTATTTTTGCAAGCGAATAGAGTTTTAGTCAAAGGTTTCCATTTTAACTTGCTAATCGATCGTAATTCTAAGCACCATTTTGTGCTTGTGGCAGCGTGTTGTGTATGTGATATGATTTTTTTTCGTTCATTTGTTTGCCCGGATTTTGGTTTTATTTCAATTGAATTGGATCCAGTTCGATATAAAATAAACCGTAAAAGCGGCGCACTCACTTCGAATAAGCGCAACATTTTCATCATAAATTAAAGTTTTAGCGTTAATGCGATTGAACTTTTTGGGTCGATTGAAGTCAAATAAGTAGGTTAATGCGCATAATACGGCTTTTGCCGCGTAATGTTTACCTTTCTCTGCTCTTAATGTGTGAGTGTGAGTTTTGCTTTTGTTGATATATCAATTCGGTTCGTTTTATTTTGATCGTCTTTTATTTTAATGGGGCATAATGTGACCGATGATACAAAATAAAATGGGCCTGTTCGTCGATGCGACTGTATGTGTGCAGTGCAAAAATAGATCGAAGAAATTTTCAGCCAACCATCACGATAAATAAGTCTTTAGAACACTTGAACTGGCTCTAAACCGATATTCGTATCGACAAACTGGAATAAAATTAAATCGGCTATTCTCAGTCGTTGAGGAGACCAAATGCGCACGTCATGTCAGTGCGCGCACTTCGTTTTAGCAAAAAAATCAAGCTATATGAACTGTGATACTCTATGAAATGCCATTGACAAGTTCGACTGCATGTGCAATTGTGCATGCTCGTTTTATTCTGTGCACAGAAATAATTTTGCATATTATTTTCACATTTTGTGGCCAATGACCATACAATGACTAATTATATTAATCAAATAATGCGTTGTTATTCTATTATGAGGAGGAAAAAAGAAGAAAACAAGAAAAGTGCAATGCGTTCTTGCTGGCTCTCTTCGTTTTTTTTTCGTCATACGGTCAATAATAAATCAAAGACCCTCTCAAACACAATCGCGCACGCATGCACGTATAGCAAAATAAAATAAAATAAAATACGGAAAATTGAATTTACCTGCATAACACCAAGATGGCCATACAACGTGCGTTTCAGTGTCAATTTCATTCATGCCGCAATCTGAGCTGCTGTTTTTGTTACCGTTATTGCTGCTCGAATTGTTAAATTTCATTGAAGTAAAGTTATTTCGCCGTTTCTCACAAACACGCACTTAACAACATTCATTTATAGATCTATGATTTTATTTCTTTTGAAGTTTTTGTTTTGTTTTCTTTCGTTCGATTACTTTTCTTATGTCTGTTTTTACGACAGTTCGATATGTTTCTTATGATTCTTGATTTTTGTTTTTTTATTTTTTTTATGTCTTTGATTCTAGTATTTCACAAAATGTATTTCTTGTCGATTTGGCCACGTTTTACCAATTGATTTTACCACGTAAACACTTTTTAGCCGACGTGTTTTGAGAACGAGAACCCCTTGACCAGTTGAATCCTACACAAATTTGCATGCGCTGGAAAAAAGGAGACAAAAAAAGAGAGTTGCATTCATGTATACATTAGTGTTCCTAGTGAATTGAATGTTGTAAAACACCAATAATAAAATTGCATGGAAATTCAAATAAATTATACATTGAAATGAAAATAGATCAAATTCATTGGAGATTTATAAAAGCGCGCACCAGTATATTTCAAGTATTACTACATGTTTTTTTCTTCTTCTTCTTCCTCTCATTTCAAGCGACAACGGCAGAATGCCGTCTACACACTCACACACACATATTATATAGAAATGCGCTCAACGGCCATACGAGCCAATGTTGGATTTGAAGTGTGACAGATCGTAGGTTGTTTGTGCAATTTATGAAGTATTATTTTAGCGATTTGCTGAGGTCTCATTTGCATGCAAAAATGTTGAAATGTATTTTTATTGCATTTGTTTTGTTCATTTTAATCTCTTTCTTGCTTACTTCAGTATCCCTCTTTTTGTCTTTGTCACCGCATTGCTCTTTTATTTTGTTTGTTTATTTATTTTTTCTCGTCATTTGCTTTTCAAAGAACCGTGTGCATTCATATCTTTATACACCGAGTACCTCACTCACAATCCCTTTTAATACACGTGTGATTTTATGATTTTAGCGCAGCCATGCAATGTCATAAATAGAAAAACTCTTCTACGATTTCATTTCGAAATCGAGATAGAGAGAGAGATGGAGAGGGAATGAGAGAGAGAGAGAGAACGAAGTTTAAAATGCACAGTAGAAAAGCGCGATTAGGTTTCGGGCGGAGTTAGAGATCAATTGCGGTTAAAGTTCAAGTGGTGCGCACTCATATTTACGACTCAGTGATTACGCAAAGCCCACGAAGTAATCGAAAAAGCACGAAAAAACGAATAAACAGCAATGCTATCATTTGAAAGAAAACAAGAAGGCAAAAAAGTAAATAAATAGTTGAATCAAATCCATATTCCCAGATATTTAAGTTTTCTAGGCCACGCACACCAATTCATTCAGTAGATTTAATTTACGTATACGTATAGATTCGCGTGTACACGTACAATTCATCACAGAAAAATATAAACATTGAACGGCACTAATGCCCCTTTCTCGGTGCACACAAGCAGAGGATAATATAGTGTGGATTTATCTCTTTTTATAAACGAATTTTGTTTGATCGCTCAAAAACGTTAAACACGTCACAATTTCGACTAGTGAACTGAAAAGAAAAGAAAAACACAGCATTTTTGCGTATGTCTTCTACCACACGTTATTCGTTCATCACATTTTATTTATAGTCGTAGTTATTGAGCTAAGAAGATCATCATTTGGCTTTTTGACATTTTGATGGCAAATGTGCAAATCGATCTCATTTTTATGCGCTACTTAGATCATTTTTTTTCTCACCACGAATCGCTCTATCAAAGTTTTACATGCACATAAATCGTTCTCTGAACATTTTTTTTTGTGTGGTCAATTTGGTAGCATTATGAAACATAGCAAATAGTTTGTTTTGTTGTGAATTAATTTTGTCTGGAGGGTGTGAAAAAGAATCAAACAGTTCAAAATGTATGGGAAAAAACTGAATTTCAAAAATTGCCTGTTAAATGGTGATGTAAACAGAGCAAATTACAAATGAACTCGGTAATATCCGCTAATAAAAAAAATCAGCATGTGGGCCATAATTTGCAAAAGGAAGGGAGAAGAGCGATAGAGCAAATGCAAGGCGACATGTTCAATGTTTTTTACATGCATATATGCAACAGCGAGAGTTGAGTGTTGAGATATGCAAAATTTTTGGCAGAATATTAGGATTATTTGCGAACTTTTGGCTCCCTTGAGAAAATGTGTCGCGTAATTTATTTACATCACACGTAAAAACACAAAAAAGAAATCGACGAGCAAAGCAAAAATACCAAATGGCAAATTATAAATAGATCTCGTGGTAAAACACATTTGCAAAATTCATTGTGGTCACATTAAATTTTCTTGTAAAAATTGTAGAATTTTTCAATTGATGTGGGCCATTTTTTTTCAGATAAATAAGTGCAGCACATATTGCATTTAAGCAGCATTAAAAACCAATTCCAAACTCATTACATTCAGTTCACACTTTTCCAACTTGATATTTGGTCAAAGCAAAAAAGTATTTACAATTATCGACTTGCTGCAATGAGAATGTTTTTCTCGGTTCAAGAATAAATCTGGAATTTGTTAATAAATTCGATCGGAACGACTGCGATATCGATTTTATCACAAAAAAAAAACAAACCCACACAGATCCAAACATATGAATAAGCGTTTATCGTTCAACAACAGTTATCGCAAAGAATGTGAACACCAGTTTATGTACATTCAATTTTGGATAAACAAGCTTGAACAGCAGCACCGATAAGCCAAGTATAATTACAGCCAATACAATTGTTAAATTATGCAAGTGGAACGAAATAAGTGTGGAATGAAAATGACAGAAGAAAGAAGAGGAAAGAAAACACAACGTCAATCGAACAGGATCAGACGAGTATGATAAATGGACGGTAAATATTATCCATAAATATTATTTGTATGTGTCACTTTAACGACAATTTTTTTTATCAACATTTATTATCGTACGTTTGCTTTTAGCCGAAAGTGATCTGGTTATGATCACACATTTTTCATATGAAAGGTCGGTGTAATCACTTAGATAACAATCAATGTGATCAGTTCAAAGTGAACACCCATAAAATACGTTTACACAATGGAATTTTGATAATAGTTCTTCTAACGAAAAAAACAAAACAAAATGAAATCAATCAAAATTCATTTTCTCCGAATTTGAACTTGTGCATTTGTTTAAGCTTTCTTTTGAGATCCATAGATCGGTTGTCGTTTCACTTGAGTTTAAATCAGTTCACAGAAAATGCAGTTGGCATGTGAACGAAATCGCAGTGACACATACTATGGCGGTGATTGAAACCGTGACTCGGAATTTAACATGTATGTCGTTGAAATAAGTGTGTAAATTCATTTGTTTGGGTGTACATTTGTTTGTCGATCTCGATAAGAGTGACAAAAAAGGCGAACGTTTCAATGTTGTGTATGAACTACACAGATACACACACAACGAGAGAAAGAGATAGAGGGAGCCAAAAAAGCGGTTGCTTCACAAAACCTCTTGAACTATGAAATTGAAGTAAAGTGTTTCTGTCTCCTTTTATTTATTGTCACTTCATATTATTATTATTCTTTTTTTTTGGTTTTTATAAGCCTTCATTTACCTATACGTGCACGAGATCAATGCTTTCTCAATTCATTCGTTCGTTCGTACTATGTTTTTCTTCTCTCGATTGCATTTCATAGAGAAAATTGTGTAGCCATGTGTGGAAATGAGCGTAGAATATGTGTAACTTGTTGGAATATGAAGCAAATGAAATCTAGAGCTATATAAATATATATTTATTTATTGTCGCTTTGGTATATATACCTTGTGTGCATTCTTTTCTCATACATTTACACACAAAATGTCGTTTATGTGTAATTTTCGCTATATGATGATGGACTGAGTGGCTGGTGTGACTGGTTGACTCTCTGAGCTTCTGAGTAAATGTGGAACAAATATCAACAGTTCATACACACTATCGACGTTTCAAACGACACCGTTCTATTTTAAGTATTCGAATATATTGTTTTGGTGTTGGCTGTTGCTACTGCTGCTACTTCAATGGGCCCTGTTATTGTGGGTTTTCGCTATTATTTTATTGGATTGCTTTGTGTATGTATGTTATTCTCTTTTTTTTTCGAAATGCTTCAATTTAATGTTAGAGTTCATATAGTTGAAACGAGTCCGATAGTTGGTGTTATTTTCATTTTCTGTCTATACTTCATACAACATATGTATATACTCTCGGTCGGTTCTATAATTTCGTTTCGATTTTTGTCTTGTTGATTCTTCACACTGTTGATTTCAGTATGAAAATAGGTAAGGTCATCGAAGGGTTAACGGGGTCAATTCACTTCACCCGATCGAGTATAGTATGGCGCGACAAATATATACACAGCATTACAATCAAGCCATTTGCAATGTTCGTATCATGCGCAACCGTTCTTTTGAACTCACAAATGAGTTGAAATATATATATTTTTTGTCGTTGAACAATTACAGCAACAACAACAACAAATAACAAAAAAAAATTCACATACACACAGAATATATACACTTGAGCAAAATTTATTTTTAACAAAATGTCTTTCCTTTCATGTTCGACTCAGTATGTCGACATCAACGACACGTGGATGTAGTGTACACTTTGTGTTGCACCAACTTTTTTTTTGCTAACGTTCATATCTCACACAATCAAATCACATTACGATAAATCAGCACCGTACGCACGATCAAACGTTCCTATATCGTCTTTTAAACTCCGACCAACCAACAACAACAAAAAACGACCGAAGAATACAACAGAAGAAAAACAAACGACCGAGTGCAAAATGATTTATGCAAGTCTCATCAAAAGAAGAAATAGAATAAGAAGCAGCAAAGAGTTTGTTGGTGTGCTTTGGCACTTTGGCGCTGAATATTGTGAATATCAATTATGATCAGCAAATTAGTATTTTTCGCACTGCTCAGTCAGCTCTAAAGAGTTCAGTTTCCTTCACAATCACAAACGTGTCGTTTTTTTAAAAAACGCTCGCGCGCACACACAGACACACATGTACACAAACACCGCTGCAAATCGTTGAAATTCAAAAAGTCATTGCTCGTCACTTTTGACTTAAGGTCAAATTTTAAATGATCTTTTTGTCGTCGTGACTTTTGTTCTTATTCTGTATTCTCTCGGTATTCGTAAACCTTTTTCGAATGTCTTTTTTTTTTCGTTTGTTGAAAATATTTTTATCATGAAACACAAACACTCCGCCTTTTTTTTCGTTCAAATGTGCTGTGGCTTTTGATCTCTAAACAACATCGTTTTTATTTGCATATATAACTGCGTAAACAAAGTTCAAATTCAACGAGATATTCGTTTTTTGATTGAAATCCTCTTTTGCTCTCTCCCTTTATGACTAGTTCAACTCAAATGACCGGATGTGGTTTTCTAGATACGGTTTTTATGTTATGTTTCACATCGAATCGATATTCTCGTAAAACGAAAAAAAACTACTCATCACATGCATTACAATCGATGATTTGTCCAGCTGTAATCATGTTCGTCGTTCGATGAATGTATGCCCTTTTTTTGTTGCTTGTTAGCGCATTCAAACTCGTCAAACAATTAACTGAGAAGAAAGATGTGGGCAACAAAAGCGAACGCAATGCCCTAAATTTATCGAACCACAAAAATAAATTCGACACAAAAGTATTTTATATTATGGCTAAACACGTTCTAACGATCTCCATATACGATAAATATCGGCGTCGTACACTGATTTTTGTTATCTGTACAGAGCTGTCGTCGCAATCGTTGTCGGCTATTGTTGTCAGCTACTTAAATCGAACAAAAAAATGTATATATAAACTTCGCGTGTCAAAGTAAACAACCTCAAGATGCGCACTCAAATTAATTAAACACAACGACTCAATATACACACTGTGTCTCTATCGTTCACTCGTTCGAGAGAAGAACGAAATAAAAAATTAATATCAATCAAAGAAAGCGATGAAGGCGAGTAGCAGCGAATCGATATAGTTGTTCATTTTTCATCACACATATGTTACGAATAAAAAAAAAATCACGTTTGAATTGATCGTTCAGTGTCAAAATTAATTGAAACAAGGCAATGGAAGAACAAATGCCTAAACGATGATTTTTTTTTCTTTTATCGATCTCAACAGTTTGTTGGGCGATATGAAAATTGTTCAAAGTAAATCATATGCACTAGAATTAAACAAAATCAAGCGTAACGAAAATAAAGCGAATATTTTCTTTTTGTTTTGTATTTTCTTTTTCTTTTTTTTTTAAAAAAACAACAATAATAACAACAGAACGAAACGAAATCAAGAGAAAAAAAATAAATAATAATAATTCCACACCAAAGAGTGAGAGAGAACCTCTTGCAGTAACGTCACTAAACCGACTGATTAAATTCTATTTGAATCAATCGCACTGCCACAGGAGATCCACACAAATATTTTAAGTCTGTTTGTATGCTTTTTTAGTTTATTTAAATGCCGAACACATGCACACAGACAATACTGCGAGCGGCAGAGATAGTGAATGCGGCTCGAATGTGTGTAAAAGTAAGAATGTGTTGTTGTTGGTTTTGTTGTTTTTTGGACTCAGAATATGTATACAACACCAATTCGATCGATTCGTAGAGTAATACAAGCGCGCACCAGCCATATAAGAATTGAACGAAGTGGCTAACGTAGAAATAAACATACGTACGTGTATAGAATGTACAAACAATACTATAGAAACTTGAGCGAATGAAGAAACGAGCAAAACATACAAAGGAGTACAACACACAAGCGAACAGTGTGTGTAAGGCGCGCGGCCGAGTACTGATCGCATCACAGACAACGGGGGACACACACATGATACTCTTCGATTTCGGTAGAAAATGAAGTACAAAAAAAAGACAACACAGAAAGTAACAACAACATTACTCGCGAGACGATACACAGGTACATTTTTCTACCGCCCAAAAGCCAATGTTGATTTGCGCCCGTCATTTCGTCTGCGTGTGTATGTGACTCGTCTCTCTTAACGAGATCTACTGTGTTTGTTTTGCTTTACTCACTTTTTTTCTCTCGCTCTCTCACTCCTTTCTGTGTGTTTTATATTCATTTTGGTTTCTGTTTTCGTTTCCTTCATTGCTCATTCATACGATCAAATTTTATTCATATTTCTCTGTCGGCTTATGGTTCAGTTCGTCGTCCAATTCACTGTGCTCGCTGCGGTTATATGCGATGAGCCATAGTTCGAGTTCATGCATTGTCGTTGCTGTTTTTACTGCCATCGATGAGATATTACATGCGACACGACATATAGCATTCAGGGCATGGAATTTTTTATATTCCAATTTTAATCAATGATTTTAACCGATACATATTTTTGATTCTTTTTTTTTTCATTGGAAAGTGATTCTGTAAGAATAAAAGATTTTTTTCCATGAACCATGAAATCATAACATTTTTCAAAATGCCAAAAATAGTTCTCAAAACTGTTGAAACACTGTTGAAACTGTCGACATATACATGATGCTCTTGTTTCCACTGCTCTAAAGATATTTTTCTAATTACGTTGCTCGTATTCAAAGTTCGAACACAGCGTTAATTAGCACGGTCATTTTTTATATGGTTTTTCTCCGGTGAACTAACACACACATCTATACACGTGAAACGCACACTAATAAAATGTCAGGCTGTGTACAACTTATCTTCGCTGTTTTTTTTTCTTTTCATGTTTGTTGTCTCTTTCACCTTGCACGATCGCATGCATACGCTTATTTGGAGTTCACTTCCATAATTTGCGTTGGGCTTTTATATATATATATATATATATATATTATCACACAGTTTATGATTGTCGTGGTACGATACGAGGCGGTGTGTGTTGTGTGCTCGCATTTCGATATTTGATGTCACAATATATGTCGTCGACTTAAATCATCGAGAATGAGAGAAATATCTCGTTGTTCATTTAACCTTTATTACATTGCTTCGGTCAAATTCCAAGATACAGCTCAATTCATTTGAACTATGGACATGACAGGTGATACTTTTTTTCATTCAATTTAATGCGGTGCCCTGTATTTCAACAAACTAAGCTTAAAATTCGATATGAGCTGGATAAAAAACGCCATTTATTATGAAAATATTATGAAAAAAATCGCTGAAATATGCTAAAAAGCATGGATTAGAGAGAACACACGATTGCACAAGAACAATATATTGCGTTATTTCTCTCGATTTTCTAGTTCATTTCAATTTGCTAAAACAACAACCTATTAACCGGAGAGAATTGCTGAACAAATTACAGGCACGTGATGAAATTAAATTATTCCAATTTGAAAACGAAAACACTTTGCATGAGTTGCACTTGGATGTTTAACATGTATTGAAAATGGACGGTTTTCGTAATCGAATATTAAGCGAAAATTGCGCTTTTAGTAATTAACAGCAGAGCGAAATCGAGAAAAATAAAACCATTAAAAAACCGTCAAATGATAATCCAATATGAATGTGTCAAGCGCAATAAAACTGGAACTAACTATTGAGAAATAGAAAACCCAAATCTTAGTACGAAACAAAAATGCAAGGGGCAAATTAGTACCAAATTATCAAAAATACCGACGGGTATTAAATCAAGACCGAAAATTACGAAAGATTGTAATATAGGGCTACTACTTTTTCCCTTCAATTTCGGCTTTTATCAACATTTTATGTTTTTGCCGACAATTTTTGGCTCAATCGGTATTTTTTTTACGATATTCTCGGTCATGTTTCAATATTTGTTCCAATTTTTAGTATTTTGATACTTATTCGTCCGTTGCAAAAATATTTAATAATCGAAAATGAAACATTCAGCTAGATTTAAATGAAATCTATCCCCCCAATAAAATGGAGATTTTGCATTTAGTCACCACACAATTACGAAATCGCATTTAGCTTCAATGACCTTTATACATTAGGTCAACTACTAGCTTAACATTTAGCTTTATGATTGCTGCAACTCATTAACTCAGTTTGTACTGAGCAACCGGAACAACCGAATCAAGCGACTATTCATGTATTGCACACAGCGTGTGTCGCATGTGACATGGAAATTTTTTCTTCTTCTCGTGATTGACTTGAACGATATGTGAGTCGATTTGTGTTATACATATAGTATATGCGATTAACAGGAAACAACACCGACTCTTACATTGATCACAACAGCACAAAGTGATTTACCATAATTAAAAGTGAAGCGAATCCATTTATGAATTTCGATATGCCATAAATAATGTTCTTTAATGTATTGTATTGTACAGCGTGTGTATGTATTTTTCAGAATGTTTTGATATTGAGTAAGAGTGAGCAATCCACATGAATTCCGGAAAGAAATGAGTTTATATCAATATTGATTTGAATGAATGAAATTAAATGTTACTTCTCGTAAGATTGAATAAATTATTCTCGAACACTTGTTGTGGCAAGCGTATTGCGTTGCTGATTTTTTTTGTAATTGAATTGTGCGAAACATCTTATATTCTTTGAAACATCAAGTGGTCATTATTATATTCATTGACATTAAGGCAACATCGGACATATTCTGTTTTATCAATTGTGTTCATGTCTTCAAAGCTGAATGAATTTGTTTGTTTCTCTTTTTTGTTTATCGCGATGCTGAATCCAAACAAGTGATTGAAGATGCATCGAGACTTCCATTTTTGCAGATTGATGCTTCGATTACCGTGAGTTGTTTGCATAGGTTGTTGTTTTCTTTTTTTTTTAGTTATTATCGTTTTCCATTTTTTGCTTTCTGCTTCAAAACACGTTTCCTTGCTCTTAATTCATCAAAAACATGAGAAAATGCGTATAATATGGACATCGCCGCGACATTCCAACCATCCGAACCATGGTTGAGCGACAGTGTGTGTGTGTGTGCGTGTTGGCATCTGCCAAGTTCAGTTTTGAACTTAATGGTTAAAACTTGAAAAGTGCAAGCCCGAAGAGCTCAAGAAGCAAAGATTATTAATGGTCTTTAAATTGGAACTTGATTTATATTTTTTACAAGTCCATGTCACCCTGAAGTGTAACAGACACAAAAAGGAAATAATATACGATTAGTGGCAGAAATACAGTTTAGCTATTGGATGGATACGAACTGCGTGTGGAATATCTATCGCTGCCAATTTGAAAAATGAGATCAAAATTAAAAGAGAGAAAAAAGCCATATACAAAGTATGCTTATGCAAAGAACGGGATAGTGAACGACAAATGACAAGCCAACTGTAAGTTCTATCAAGTTGGTTTTGATTCAAAATAGGTGACTTGCCTGGCATTTATGTGCAAATCAATTTATTGAGATGATAGATGTGTACTACACATTGTACACACAAAAAAATATGTAGCATTAACGCTTAGAGTTATTATATGCGACACTTAAGCTTCTTTTTAACGTTACAATGTAAAGATTGTCCATAAGAAAATAACTTTTCGCATTATATCGTTTGAAATCGCGTTATGATTATTAGCGACAGGCCAATGTAATTCAGCAAAGTCATCGTCGGAAATTTTAATCTTATGAGAGAATTAAGTGTCTTGTGATCTTGCCAGCACGAACGCCTTGGACGGGCGGCAATGAAAATGCCTTCCGAACCTAAAACTCAACAAGGTTAAAATTCAAAAGTGTTTTGGGCAATTGATTCAGAACCGAAGCGATCGATTCGATTTTGATAATAAATCATGTCTCGAGTTATTTGCTCTCATTTTAATTCTTGGTCGCAAAAACGAAAGAGCAACAGCAGCAATAATAACAACAGAAAAAGAAAAAGAAAATGCGCCCAGCACAAACAGAGTGGACAATCATCGGAATTTATGGCTTAAGGTCACAACACCGTTTTATGCACTAATGGTTGAACTTACATGCAAGCATAACACGAAGATACACATGGTCACTGGCATCTCGGTCGATTTGGTGCTGCCAATGTGCAATTTTAAGTTTTTCTTTCATCTATTATTTACAACATACATTCATTTTTACGAAGGCTCTTTTTCTAATTCCGCACTTTTTGTTTTTCTTCAAAATGAAAAAAAAGACGATATAATTTCATTTGTGCATCGCGAAAAATATATTATATTGTTTTTTGCTCTCATTTCTGCTGCGCCAAACGGACCTCGTCGACATCGTCGATATAACGAGCCTAATTTAGTGTAGATGTTAGAGAGCAGAGC